ATTCTGGATCAGGATTCTGGATCAGGACCCTGGATCTGGATCTGAATTCTGGATCTGGACTCTGGATCAGGACTCTGGATCTGGACTCTGGATCTGGATTCTGGATCAGGACTCTGGATCAGGACTCTGGATCTGGACTCTGGATCAGGACTCTGGATCAGGATTCTGGATCAGGACTCTGGATCAGGACTCTGGATCTGGACTCTGGATCTGGACTCTGGATCTGGACTCTGGATCTGGACAAATGAATGATGTTCAAACCACCTGATTGGAGGATTTCTGGCCTTTGAAAGCTGGTTGGTGGATGGGAGGAAGCTAAATTTAGAGGCAGTGGGCGTCTGGAGCTCCACCTCAATGTGGAATTGTCTATCTTTAATGTGGAATTTTACACCCTACAATGTGCTAAATTTATATTTTTTACAATAAAACAAGCAAAATGTACTTTTTTTCCCCCTAAAATGTGCTAAATGTATGTTATTTTTACCCTATAAAAGGCAATATTTACAGTTTTTACCCTAAAATGTGCAATATTTGCTTTTTTCAAGCCCACAACGTGATATATTTACAGTTTTTTATCTTTAATGTGGAATTTGACACTCTACAATGTGTTAAGTTTATTGTTTTTTACAATAAAAAATGCAAAATTTACTTTTTTCCTTAAAATGTGCTAAATTTATGTTTTTTTACCCTACAATAGGCAATATCTTCTTTTTTTCAAGCCTACAATGTGCAATATTTACAGTTTTTTATCTTTACTGTGGAGTTTTACACTACAATTTGCTAAATTTATAGTTTTTTACCCTAAAACATGCCAAATTTATATCTTCTCCCCCTAAAATGTGCTAAATTTTACCTTTTTTTCAAGCTTACAATGTGCAATATTAAAAGCTTAGTATCTTTTGTATCTTTTATCACAGCGTCAGAAAAACAAAAAGCTGCCGGTTCCAAACCCGACCGGAGAAAAACCCCCAAAACACTAAAAACCTTTTTTTAGTTTTCCATCATAATGAGATCAGACTGAAAGGTGCTGAGTGTCGGCCGGCTGGACCTGGGGAATAAGGGGGGGGGGGGTATGGGACTCTGAACTTTAAGGAAGCGTTTAGTTTTAGTTTTTTTGTCTTAAAAAAGCAGAAATTTATCTAAAAGGCTGAAATCTGGAAACATTTCAGAGTAAAAGCAGAGAGAGA